AAAAACTGAGGATTTAAGGAAGCGTCCGGTGAAATCTGAGGCCCCAAAACAGGTAGAAAGTGTGAGAAAAGTGGCGGATTTGTTGTCTTTGATCTTTAAAAGGAAAAAAACACTAAACAAAAAAACAAAACAAAACGCAATCGCTTCTGCATAATCCCCATCTCCCATCAAACATTATTAGACGGCGACACAGGCCCGACATAATGCACTGCATGTTTTCTCTGGTCCAAACACATGCATTAGGGGGTTCTAAACATGGTTTATGTATCGATGACTGAAGTCCTAATCAAATCAAGACGCTCTGCCCTTAACCTCAGAGCCTCTCAGTCTCTCCTCCACTCCGACGGCCGCCTAGTGGAGGGACGCCGGGCGAAGGCCTCCTGCCGTAATGAGGAAAAATGCATCAATTTGGGCCGGGCCCGTGCGCAGATTGAGCGCCGGGTGGGTGAAGGTGCACTGAGTGAATCCTTTTTCCTAATCAAGGACAGTATCAGAGAGGATTGCGGTCTCCCTCTCCTCGTCTGTGGGACCGGCAGCATTCCTCCCCTGCAGCCCCCTCAGGGCGGGGAGCCTCTCTGCCTTCTGTTTCACCTCATCAGCAGAGTTCACCCAGGGGTCAGGTCCTGCCCCCCCGATGCCGCATTCACCGCATCCAGACCCGAGCGCCGAGCAGAGGAGGGGAAGCAAACGATAACTTTCTGATCTGACTCTCAACCTGCTCTTTAAGGGGTCACCTCTGGGGATAAATGTGTTCACACTGGGGATATTTCCACCCGTAATTACAGCTAAATCTGGATTCATATTCAAATTGTCCACAGTTGTTGTGTTTTAAATTAAAAAATAATTATATATTTGGTTTAATATATATATATGATAAAATATATATGATAAATAAAATAATAATAATAATAATAATAATAATAAAATAAAATAAAATAAAAAATATATATGTTTATATTTATATATTTATTATTTTATATTTTTTATATATATATATGTTTAATATAAATATATTTATATATATATAAATATATATATATATTTTTATTTATCTATTATTATTTATTTTATTATGAGGGGAAAATCGTTTGATTTCAGATTTAGATTTTAGATTTGTCTTGTTTTTTAGAGTCTGTCTGAATTCTGCTGATAAGAAGGAAAAGAAAGAGTTAAATGAGGAGGAAAGGCAGAGATCCTTTCATTGAGTGTCATTTAATATAGAAATGCCATCTGTTTTTTTTTTTCCAGATTGGCTACAATATTAAAATGAAATATTCCGGAAGTCTGTAAAACAGAATAAGTCTGAGTCATTGGATGCTAATCAAATGTCATTTGTCATTTGCCCTTTTATGACATTTTAAAGGCCAAAGATTTCATGGAAAAAGAAAAATTAGCAGGGCGATTTATAACAACGACGATTGTGACATTAAAAAAGCATCATAGTTTATCCAGTAAGAAACAGAAAAGGGTATTAAACAAACAAAAATATATACAGTGTATTTTTATAGATGTTGGAAAACATCATTACGTTATTATGTGATAATAAAACATTATTATTATTATTATTATTATTATTATTATTATTATTATTATTAT